TGTGCGGTTGACTCAAGCCTTGTTCCCGCTCTCTGAATGTAATTGTTGAAAAACAGCCCTTTGTTGGGAGAGACACCTGTTTGCCCCTCTCAGAGAACTGAAATCTAAATTCAGTTGTAAAAGTGGGAAAGTTTAAACCCTTCAGTGGTACATAGACACACACCTACAGGCAAGCACACACATAAAATAAAAATCACAAAAAATAAAATAAATAACCCTTGATCACACTTTTAATCCAAGCACTAGTACTTGGGAAGCAGAGATAGACAGATCTCTGTAAGTTTGAGTTTCAGGCCAGCTAGGCTACATATTACATACATACATACATACATACATACATACATACATAATCTCAAAATGGCTGGGCGGTGGTGGTGCACTCCTTTTATTACAGCACTTTGGAGGCAGACACAAGCAGATCTTTGTGAGTTTCAGGACAGCTAAAGCTACACAGAGAAACCCTATCTGGAAACAAAACAAAAAACCCAGAATGATTCCATGTTGTAAGTTTCTATTTGGTAAACAGAAAGAGGAACCAACCTGTTTTTCTTTCTCCTGAAAAAAAAAAACCTCCATGCATAAACACCATGACCAAAATGACTTGGGGAGGAAAGGGTTTATTTTACCTTATAGCTTATAGTCAAGAAGGGAAGTCCAGGCAGGAACTCAAGGCAGGAACCTGGAGCCAGGAACTGAAGCTGAGTTCATGGAGGGGCACAGGAGCACTGCTTATTGGCTGGCTCAGTTTGTGTTCTGCTAAGAGGGTGGCCTCCCCCACGGTGGGCTGGACCCTCCAAACTCAATCATCAGTGAAGAAAATTGCCTATGGACCAACCTGATGGAGGCATTTTTTTTTCTTTATAACTGAGGTTTGCTCTTGCCAGATGACTCTCACTTTCAGTCAAGTTGACAAAAACAGCTACCTCACAGAGACTCATTATTTTCTTCAAACTTTGCAAAGTGAAGTTGTTCAAATCCGTGGTTGGTGCCGAAACAATGCCAAAGGCTGCATCTCCTGGGAGACAGGAAATGATGCCAAAGGCAGCATGTGCTTTAAGGACGACAATGGACCCCAAAGCCTGGGCCACTGTCTTACACAACATGTGTCTGGTATATTTCACATATGTGTTTAAAATTTGCAATACCTAAAAAAAAGGAGGGGGTAAAAAACCACCATGTGATTGGTGCTTTCCTCTGGGAGGCAGGATGGGTGGTCTCCCTCCTTTCCGTATATACTTGTGAATTTCCCGGAGACAAAGATGAAATAACCTTTAAAAATATGTATCCTTATCCCAATTAACACCATCCTTTTAGAATGCTTGTAGGTACCTCAACCTTCACAAATAGATTTTAAAAACCCGGACATGGTGACTCTCACTTGCATTGAAATAATCCCAGTGTAGCACAGAGTGATACACACAATTAAAGCTAAAGTAGCTCAGCCCAGCAACTTATTTTGCAAAAGGTTGAGCCAGAACCCAAACCAGGCGGGCTATCAACACACCAGGCCAGCATGGCTTCCTTTACCCTGGATGTAGGCAGTGGCTGTATCCTATCCATTGGTGGGAGTGCAACCTCACAATCTGATGTGATTGGCTAATCTCTGAGGAAGAGACTAGGGAAGGAAAGATTCAGAAATGTGAGTCCTTGCTTCACTACCTACCTTTGATTTAAAAACAACAACAACAAACATTTCTGGGATTAGAGAGATGACGTCAGCAGTTAAGAGTGCTGACTGCTCTTGCAGAAGATCCAGGTTTAGTGCTCAGCACCCACATAGTGGCTCAGAGTCACCTGAAACTACAGTCCCAGGGGATCTGATGCCCTCTTCTGACATTCAAGGTCTCCAGAACAGCCCCTAGCACACATACATTCATATAGACAAAACACTCACAACACACAGAATAAAATAAATAAATCTTAAAAAAAAAAGCTATCACACTTGTAACCTCCAGGTTTAGGAGGCTGGGGCAAGTGGATTGCCTAAGTCTGGGGGCAAGCTTAGGCTAAATCATGAGGCTGTTCAGTTTTTTGTTACAGGGTCTTACTGCATACATAGATCAGGTTAGCCTCAGACTTGTAGTGATCTGCTTGTCTCTGCCTCCTGAGTGCTGGGGTTAATGGTGTGTGCCACCGCCTGGCTGTTTGAGTTTGAGGCCACCCTGACCTATACTGAGTTCTAGGCTTGCATAGGCAACATGGTGAGCTACAGGTTACCCTGGGCTACAAGATGAGACCAAAAGGAAATATATGTGAGCTGGTGTGGTAGCTCTAGCCTGTGATTCCAGCCGGGACTGATGCATGAAGACACCTAGGCAAGCACATGCAGCCACCCCGGGAAATTAATTAGCCAGCAACCAGGCTGACTGAGTGAATGGCAAGGTGATACCAAATTTAATGCCCTTGCCACATGCTTGCAATCTCAGATCTCAGGCAACGTCATGGCCAGCCTAGTCTGCAGAGTGCGAGCTACAGACGGCAGGGACCAGCAAGATAAACCCACCAGGTAAAGGCACCTGTTGCCTAAGGATCTCAGCTCAGTCCCTGGACCCACAAAGAGAACTGATTCTGGGGCCGTCCTCTGGCCTCCACATATATGCCCACATACACACACAAAGAATACATACATGCAGAAAGACTTATTTTAAAAAAGATTATGGTGGTCGGGCGGTGGTGGCGCACGCCTTTAATCCCAGCACTCGGGAGGCAGAGGCAGGCGGATCTCTGTGAGTTCGAGGCCAGGCTGGACTGACAGCCTCCAAAACAATACAGAGAAACCCTGGCTCGTAAAAAAACAAAAAACAAAACAAAACAACAACAAAAAAAAGATTATGGTGAGGCTACTGGCCCTTGAGTTTATATGAACTCTATCTTGGCCCTGGCCTCCCCCTGCTCACCTAGAGGTTAGGGCATATCTAGCTCTAGCTTCCCAGGCTCATAGAGGCCCATTAAGTCCTTGCCCAACTCCTATGTCTTGGACTCTGGGGCTGCAGGCTGCTGCTCAGTCCCCTCCACGGCAGGACCTTCTCAGTGTCTGACCCTAGGGTGAGGAAGGACTGGTCCTATGTGGGCAAAGTTTGGGGAAATGGATATCCTCAGACAAGAGACCAGACCAGGAAGAGGAAAAAGAGTTGCTGGTGTGGTACCGGGGTGGGAGGGGTCTGCAGGCACTGCGCGCTGCCTGCTACCTCTGGCTGGTTCAGCAGGTGGCACTGGCCAAGCCGCCTCCCCTGGCAGTGGACCTGCTCTGCCTGTACTGCAGGCCTGTCTTGAGCCCAGATGTGCAGCCAGGAGACTACTCCTTGCATTCCCTACCACGAGGACGGAACAGACCAAGCCATTAGGCCCAGTGACACCCTGCTGGAGCCACTGTCCCCATCTCTCTTACTCTTAAGCATAGCTAGGATACTCACTGCCCAAGCCACTTGGAGAGTAAGGGTCATATAGCAGCCCGCCCAGACAAGTTGCCTAGGTATCCACCCCACCCTGGCCTCTTACCCTGATTTCCCTCCAACCCCAACTTCACAGCACAGCACACTGGGGCTGACTTCTTCCCACACTCACAGTTCGGTTCCTTGGTTTTCTTTTGTTTTTGAGACAAAGGTCTCACTCTGTAGACCAGCCTGGCCCCCAACTCGGAGATTCGCTAGCCTGTCTGGGATTAAAGTGTGCTGCCACACCCAGCCCAACTGAATTTCTTTACATCTCCTGGCCAGTGTCGGCATGCTCACCTCCCCATCGAACCTCTGCCTCACTGTCCCCCGACCAGGGATCCCAGCCGTACCCCGGATAAGGCTGTCTGGGTTCCTAGCCATGCTGCCTTCCCCACTGCAGGGGGCCGGTCCCATGACCCCAGGCCTCAGATAGTGCAGTCATTGTGGGTGATACACGTTCCTGCACCAGGCAACCTTCCCCAAGAGGGAAAACACAGAGATGCTGACCTGCCCTGCTTAGACCTCTCCGTCCCCTTCCCTCCTGGGCCCTACCTTGCAGAGTTCTCTCAGTCCTGGCTCAGGAACTCAGGGCAAGTCATCTCTCTTCTTGGACCCTTGAATCCCCCAGCTAAAATGCTGAAATGGATCTGGAGAAATGGCCTAGCGGTTCAGAGAACTCGGGTTCAATTCCCAGAACCCACAGTGGCTCACAACTGTCTGTGATCCAGTTCCAGGGGATCCAACACCCTCTTCTGGCCTCCATGGGCACCAGGCACATATATGATACAGACATACTTTCATAACACACATATACGTAATATGAAACTGCAGACATGCCTCCTTCTTAAAATTACTTTAAGTATTAAATGGGGCAATGGGGGCAACAGATGAAGACATCTCAGCAAACAGCTGGCACTCAAAGGGGGGGGGGTAAGGGGATCTATGGTTCTTGTTTTCCTCAGAAGAGAGCTTCAAGAACAAAGGTTTCATCTCACCACCAGAGGGCAGTGTTGTCCACTCCCGGTGCACTGTGTGTGGAGTTGAAACCTAGGCTCGCTGGACTTTCCAGAAAGGCCTCATGGAGCAGGAGGTGCACAGGTCCCCGTTGGGAAGAGGGGTAAGGACACTAGGCACCAGCCTTGGGTGGAAAGCAGGCAGGGCTTGGGAGCTTGGCTGTCCCAGGCCCTGGAGCCTCCATGTGGTCTCCGGCTGTAAGAAAAACAGCATCCTACCCGGTGATACCTGGCAGGACCTCTCTGGATCCCAAGCCAAGCTCCACCTTATCAGAGGTCTCCTTGCTGAAGAAGGGGACTTCCCTGGAGCAGGCTGTCGTCTGTGCTAGCTTGGCCCCAGAAACAACCCCTTGTGGTGGTGCAGGTCTGTAATCCCCGCCCTTAGGAGGTACAGGCAGGCTGTTAGTTCAAGGCTGTCCTCAGCTACATAGTAAGTTTGAGGCCAACTTTGGCTAAGTGAAACCCAGTCTCAAAAAAGCAAAACCCCCAAAATTCTCAGCAGGCACCAGGCCAGCTGAGACATATGGACATTGGAAATGGGGACCACAGGGCATTCACAGGTCATCATACATTGCTGTTTAATGACTAACCCTGAACAGGTTTCAGGAGGACTCTGGAGGGAGACTCCACACACACACACACACACACACACACACACACTCAGATGGACATTTGGTATCTTCAAACGTCACAGACACTGAAGAAGCCCAAAGCTCTCTTTCAGTAGTTGGTCAGACAAAGCCCACCCTGACTGATGGTCTTTGGGGAGCTAGGACCTTGACCAGGCAGGCAGAGCTCACTGAGAGCAACTCCCATTACTGAGCCTGTACTAACTAAGGCACTTGGAACAAAGGACAGGAGGGTGGCAACAGGGATGTGCAGCAAGTCCCCTAACTCCAATGCCTGAGGGAGCTGGCCATCACCGGGCCTTTTGTGAAGATTTCCTGGTGTCTCTCCTTGGGCTGGCCCAGAAGCCTTCACCTTTAGCCCTGGATGGAATGCTATGTTGGAGAACCCCCTGTCCTTTCAGTTGGTTGCTTGATTGGTTCTTGTTTGTTTGAGACAGGGTTTTTCTCTGTGGCTTTGGAGGCCATCCTGGAACTAGCTGTTGTAGACCAGGCTGGTCTCGAACTCACAGAGATCCACCCACCTCTGCCTCCTGAGTGCTGGGATCAAAGGTGTGTACCGCCTGGCTGTCCTTTCAGTTTTAAGGGGCAAGAGGGAGTGTGAGTGGTGTTTAAGGCTTTTGTGAGGTCAAGGATGCTCTGTCAATCTTGACAACTCATCTGTAAGTGGTTCTAATTGGGCACTTCATCCAGATCCCAAGAGGCTAAGAAACACACACCCAGGACTAGAGCCCATCCCTGTTCTAGAAGGGACACCAAGTCCCCAGGTTCAGCCTTGGTGGCTTCTGTCCACGGTGTGATGGCTGAACTTGGTGGCTTCTGTCCACGGTGTGATGGCTGAACTTGGTGGCTTCTGTCCACGGTGTGATGGCTGAACTTGGTGGCTTCTGTCCACGGTGTGATGGCCGACGAGGCTTTGGCCACTGGGTCACAGATGATGGGTCACTTTCCAGAGGATCTGCAGAGCCATGGAGACACAGGCAAACTGGGCCAGGACATAGGCTCCAGAGCGGACTCGTGGGTTCAACTTGCCCAGGTAGGCTACCGTGTGCACCACACGGCCTGCGAAGACAACAAGGAAATGTATCCAGGCGACCAAAGGCTCAGGTCCCAGGAAGGAGTAGACGAAGCCCAGGAAGAGGAAGGGGTAGATAGTCTCCATGTCATTGCGGTGGGCTCTGAGGAGCAGAGGGGTACAGTCAGCGGGCTTAGTGCCGGGGCTCCCAACCCACCAGTCTGGGACTGCCAGACACCCCAACCCCTTGCTGGCCAATAAGTGAGATGCTGCAGGGCCAAGGCGGACAGTGACTCTGAGCTTTTACCCAGAAGTGGCTGAGGCTCAAAGCCCTGTTAACAGCACATGACCAGAGAGGCTGCCACTGGGTCACGGGGATTGTATGGGCCCCGTCCTTCCCACCTTCCCCATGCTGTCCATTAGACACCAGGGTTGGGGTCAAGAGATGAGTGCCAGGGGTTCTCTTGTCAGGACTGAGACCCACTCGACCTCTGAATGCAGGTTTGGGGCCCCATCCAGGGCTGTCTCTGTCCCCCCCCCCCCCGAAAAGCTGACTAAGCATCATCTGCAGTTCTAAGCATAGGATTCTTCCATTCACCAGCCCAGCTAAGCACAGCCGCTGGCCAGCCTTGCCTTCCTTCGGGCGTGCTACCCCGCTCTTCTGTCAGCATGCCTGGCGGGGAGGCTGCAGACAACCCTACCATAAATAAGGCCGAGGGAGAAAACTCTCACCAGCTGTCACTCAGTGTCCGTGACCCCTTTTGGACTGTTGCCCCACTCTAAAACGAACCAGGCAGTCAAACCCCATCCACTAAGGACAGTGAATGCCCAGAGCCATCGATGACCACTTAGATAAACACAAACCCAGTGACCGAGCCGTGACCTTCCCCAAGACAGGCCCCATCACTCAATCCGGGGACTCTAGCTCCCAGCTGCAGTCCATCTGACCCGCAGCACAGGCCCCTGGCCGGCCCAGCCTGGCCCCAGCACTTGTGTGGGAAACCACTTCAGAGGCCTTGTCTTGTTTCCCACTGGAAAACGAGTCTTTAGCAAGAGCCACTAGCCATTTGCTGAGTGAAAGGAAGCAGGCAGAGCCTGGTAGAGAGAGGCCTAGAGCACCCAGCACCCAAATGCTGCAGGGGCTGGGGCAGTAGTCAGGGGTAGAGATACGTGTTAGAGCCTAAATGACGAGAAGCTGTCGAGGCAGATGAAGAACCTTCTCCGGAAGCACCCTGATGGGGGACGTCCTTCTGTATGTGTGTTTCTCTTATTGGTTGGTGAATAAAACAGTGTGGCCAATAGAGGCAGGAGAATACGCGAGGCTAGGAGACGAGGGGGATTATGGGAAAGGCAGGCAGAGGGAGAACATGAGGAGATGCCATGTGGCCACCAAAGCCCAGCATATGCAAAGGCCCTGGGGTAAGAACAGCACCAAGTTTGAAACCTGACCCGTTTGCTGGAGTACAGTGCACGAGAGGGAAGTGAGGGGGCCTGGTAACGCAGACGAAATGAATTCCGGCCAAGGACATCAAAGTTCCTAAGGAGGGGAAATGCAACTTAGCAGCTGGAGTGGTCCACAGCTCCGCTTAAAACAGGGTGTGGTGGCCAGGCGTTGGTGGCACACGCCTTTAATCCCAGCACTTGGGAGGCAGAGGCAGGCGGATCTCTGTGAGTTCGAGGCCAGCCTGGTCTACAGAGCTAGTTCCAGGACAGGCTCTAAAACAATATAGAGAAACCCTGTCTCGAAAAAAACAAACAGGTCACAACAATCTGTAACTCCAGTTCCAGGGGATCTGATGCCCTCCCTCTGGCCTCTGAAGTACATGACAGTAAACATATACATAAAAATAAATAAATCTTGGTCATACTCTGCTAGTGAGTGACTTGAGTCAGGCCTGGGTTGTATATAAGACTTCCCTCCTTCCGTTCCCTCCCTATCCCTCCACCCCTCTCTCCCTTCCTCGCTTACCTCCCTGCCTTCCTTACTTTTTTCCCTAGCCTGGAGTGATGGCATACTCCTTTGATCCCAGCACAGAGGCAGATGAATCTTTGTGAGTTCAAGGCCAGCCTGGTCTACAGAGGGAGTTCCAGGACAGCCAGGGCTACACAGAGAAACTCTGTTGCAGAATGTGTTTACACTGTGAAGATGTGTCTTTGCCAAGGCGACTTCTGACTGATTGGTTTAATAAAGAGCTGAATGGCCAATAGCTAGGCAAACGGTACAAGCGGAACTTCTGGGGAGAAAGGAAGAGGAGGAGGGGTCTGGATGCAAAGGAGAAGGGAGGAGGCACCAGAGGAAACAGGAAGTACAGATGGAAGAGAGATACTGGTACATGATAGGTCATAGATTAATAGAAATGGGTTACTTTAAATTATAAGAGCTAGTTAGGAACAAGCCTAAGCTATAGGCCAAGCTTTCATAATTAATAAGAAGCCTCATGTCATTATTTGGGAGCTGGCTGGTTGAGACAGAAAAAGGGTTTTGAGGCAGGGTTTGAGACAAAACCCTGTCTCAAAAAAAAACAAAAAACAAACAAAAAAGCAAAACCAAATAACTAAAACCAACTTTCTTAAAAGGCTTGGTGGTTAAGACGGATTGTTGCACAATCATGAGGATCAGAGTTCAAATCCCCACCACCCATATTAAACAAAACAAAACAAGCCCTGGATGGGACTAAAGTGCTAATAACCCCAGCAGGAAGGGGATGGAAACGGGAGGGAGGGTTGCTGGAGTGAGCTAGCTGTCAGTCTGCTCCAGGCTCAGCGACAGACTCTGCCTCAAGGGAAAAAGATGAAGAGCACTAGATGAGAGAGAGAGCCACGAGTTCTCCTCTGGCCTCGGCACACCCACCCCACACCCCACCCCACCCCTCACACAGACACACACGCACACACCAGACACCCCACACAACTGTGCATGCACGTGCGCGCGCGCGGAGCGCGCACACACACACACACACACACACACACACACACACACACACACACACGCAAGCATGCCTGCACCAAGGGGAGTTGGTGTGTTAAGAGTAAATTGGTGGCGCACGCCTTTAATCCCAGCACTCGGGAGGCAGAGGCAGGCGGATCTCCTTGAGTTGGAAGTCAGCCTGGTCTACACAGTGAGTTCCAGGACAGCCAGGGCTATAGAGACACCCTGTCTTGACCCCCCCTAAAAAAAAAAAAGAGTGTGAGAGTCAGGAGCCAGGTGTGCTATCTTGCACCTGTATTCTAAGCACTTAGAAGCCTGAGGCAGGATAATTACCATGTATCAAAAGTTCAAAGCCAGCCTGGACTACACAGTAGATTCGAAGTCAGCCTGGGACTACAGAAGGCCCTGCCCTGAAAATAAACACAAGGTGTTAGAGGATGATTTAGCAATTGGGAGCACATGGTGGCTCACAACTGTCAGTAAAGCCAGTTCCAGGGGATCTGACGCCCTCTTCTGGCTGCTGAAGTCACTGCATGTATATAATGCAAAAGATAAATAATATTTTTTTTAATCTAGGAATATGGCTTAGCTGGTGTAACACTTGACTAGCAATTAAAAGGTCCTGGGCACAGAAACCAGAAGTGGTGGCACATGACTCTAATTCTAGCACTTGAGAGGTAGAAACAGGAAGATCATAAATTCAAGGTTATCTTCATTTACATAGAGAGTTAGAGGCCAGCCTGGGCTACACGAGACTCTGTCTCAAAAAACAAAAACAAACAAACAAAAAAAACCCAAAAAACAAAAAACCCAAAGCACAGCCATATTGAGGACAAATGTGACCAAACCTGATGAGCAGTTAGGAAAGGTTGGGACACAAGGATAAGAGGAACAGCCCCTGTCTGTGGCAGGTCCCTGGTTGGGGAGGTGGCCCTTGTAGAGAAAACACACTTCCTTGATCCCCCCCCCAGCAGCAAAGGGGTGGACCACGTGGGAAGAGGTGACTGGGAGCAGATGGAGCTCCCACCCAGGGCCTGCCTCCCTCATCTGTTTGAAACCACAAAGGGGCCCCAAAAAGCCACGGTGCTGCTGGGGGCAGGGAGGAATGGGGAAATCAGGATGTTGAAAAACATAAAATAAAGCTCACCTCTCCTCCCCTGCTACAGTATCCAAACAGAGGCCTGCAGGGAGTCACGTACTGGCAGACGGGGAGAAATGTGTCACTGGGATAATAGCCGCTATTCCGGGGCAAAGCCGGTTCCCACCAGACCGGACTTGCACAGCCCCCTGTAGCATCCAGCCTGCCCCACTCCCTCCACACAGGCTGGGACAGAGTAACAACTCTGCAGCAAGAGACTGCAGTGGGGACGGAGACTGCTGGTGACCCTAGGTCAAGGCAGAGACAGCAGCTGGCAGCTCCTCCAGCTCACCACCCACACACGGTGCAAGGACAGCGTGGTGCCAAAGGCGGATGTGCCGAGGGGCAGCAGTAAGGGGCAGGGCGGCAGTAAGGGGTGGGGCTGAGGCTTGCCTCCTGCTAGATGGGGTGCAGCCTCAGGGCCCGATCTTGGCACACCGCTTCTATCTCTACAGATAACATCACTCTCTTCAGAGTGTTGGTGCCCAGGAAATGAGGAACAGCAGAAAGGAAGGCCACCATGGCCACCCCCAAATCACCAATTCTGGCCTGGGCACAGCTGTGAGTTGCTCCGCATTGTTTTTTAGCTGACAGCCTGCCACAGGCCCCCTCTGACTGCAGTGAGAAATGAGGGTTCCACCAGAGGCCACCAAGGAGCAGAGGCCACAGGCAGGTGTCCCTTCCTCTCTGAGCCCGCATCCGCTATTGATAAATGGACAGGTAGGATGTCATTTTCAGAACATAGGAAGTTTGCACCTGAGGGCCAAATCTCTTGGCAAACTGCTTTCCTCAGGCTTTAAGCCCAAGAGGAAGCTTGGGTCCAGGTATTCCCGCTGGGGCAACAGTCCATGGGAATTCACGCACAGCTGCAGGTGAACACATTTCGATCTGCAAGCACAGGCAGGTGTCCTGGGACTAGAATGTGGCTGGGTACCCGTCCAGCAAGGCTGGGACTTCCACTGACTGGGGCATACACATACACACACACACACACACACACACACACACACACACACACACAGAAAAGCCACTGTACCAGGCTCGCACACGCAGAAAAGCTGGGGCCAGTGGACCACTCGCTCTCTACTGGGGGAAGAGCCAGGTGTTAGTGGCACACGCCTTTAATCCCAGCACTCGGGAGGCAGAGGCAGGCTGATCTCTGTGAGTTTGAGGCCAGCCTGGTCTACAGAGCGAGTTCCAGGACAGGGTCCAAAACAATATAGAGAAACCCTGTCTCGAAAAACCAAAAGCAAAAAAAAAAAAAAAAAAAAAAAAAGAAAGAAAGAAAGAAAGAAAAGAAAAAGAAAAAAGAAAGAAAAGAACAGAACTGGGGGGCGGGGGCAGGAGGTCTGTGTGGGAAAGCAGTCTCAGGTATAAACATCCTGCAGGAGGCTGCAGTTACTAGTTTTTACACACCCTGCCAGTGTTCCCACTGGGACCACAGGAAGGCTTTGCCATCCCTGGGCTTCGCCTGGAGAAGGTTTTGCCATCCCTGGACCTCGCCTGGGGAAGGTTTTGCCATCCCTGACCTCACCTGGGGAAGGTTTTGCCATCCCTGACCTCACCTGGGGAAGGTTTTGCCATCCCTGGACCTCTCCTGGGGAAGGTTTTGCCATCCCTGGACCTCGCCTGGGGAAGGTTTTGCCATCCCTGACCTCTCCTGGGGAAGGTTTTGCCATCCCTGACCTCGCCTGGGGAAGGTTTTGCCATCCCTGGACCTCACCTGGGGAAGGTTTTGCCATCCCTGACCTCTCCTGGGGAAGGTTTTGCCATCCCTGACCTCTCCTGGGGAAGGCTTTGCCATCCCTGACCTCTCCTGGGGAAGGCTTTGCCATCCCTTTGGGTCTGAGGCTTTAGTCTTTAGCATGGCTATGCCCGTGTCAACCACACACACTCAGGATTTCATCTGTTGCTTACACATTCACTCTGGCGTCCTTTGCTCCCCAGAGCTGGCCTCCTTCCTTTTTCATGTAGTCTCTGCAAGCCTCTGATGTTATATTGTGCAGCTAAGGCTGGCTTTGAACTCCTGATCCTGCTGCCTCCACCTGCTCAGTGCTAGAATTCCAGGTGAGGCCACTACAGGTGGCCTCAGTTCCATTCTTCTTCTTTTGTTTAATGTTAAAAAATTTTTTTCAGTCTCTTGTGAGTTCTAGACCAGCCTGGTCTACAGATCGAGTTCCAGGACAGCTAAGGCTGTCTACACAGAGAACCCTGTCTTGGGAGAAAAAAAATTTTTTGGCCGAGTGTAATGTTGTATGTACATCGTTAATCCCAGTACCCAGAAGGCAGAGGCAGGTGAATCTCCGTGAGTTTGAAGCCAGCCTGGTCTACATAGTGAGTTCCAGGACAGCCAGAGCTGTACAGTGAGAACTTATCTCAAAACAAAACAAAAAAAGTTAAGGGTATCTGTTTTATTTTCTACATGAGTGTTTTGCCTACATGTATGCATGTGCACCACATGTGTGCCTGAGGAGATCAGAAAAGGGCACATGTGGGTGCTGGGAATGGAACCTGGGTCCTCCAGAAGAGCAACCAGCGCTCTGAAGCACTAGACCCTCTGTCCAGTCACCTGGGTTTCACTCTTTAACCCTGGTCCCTGACCGCCCCAGAACCCACCTGGCCTGTCTCCGGCATGTGCTAATCTGCCAGACAGACTTCTGACCCAGGGTCCAGGCTTCATGCTTCCTGGTACCCAGCGGTGCGGCCCAGGGGCACCTGCCCTGCTTCTGATATCTAGCCCTTGTGTCTCCCGCTCTCCAGCCAGCTCCTAGCGGTGGGCAGCCGGTGGGTGATTCTCCGTCCTGCACCTTCACCGACACTTTCTCTTTTGAGACAGGGTCTCACTGCACAGCTCCGGTTGGCTTGGATCACTGTGTAGATCAGACTGAACTCAAACTCACCGACATCCTCCTGCCTCTGCTTCCCACCTACTGGGATTAAAAAGAGGAGCACCGCCAGCGGCTGGCTTCCTTCCCTCCTTTCTTTAGTAGGGTAGAGTCTCATGTAGCCCAGGCTAGCCCCTGACTCGTTTTTATGTAAGCACTCTACCACCCTGGGCTTCACCTCCAGCCCTCAACCGTCTGTGAGGTTCTGTGGAGTCAGGAGGCTTCCCCACTACCCAGGTGTTGACCCCCCCCCAAGCCAAGTACCTAGTGAGTCCCGAATGAAACTCACCAAGGGGCTCTACAGCATTAGGGGGTAGGAATGTTCAGAAAATGCTAGACTGAATGCCAACCACTTAAGCTTGAGTGCTAGAGAGGACACGAAATAAAAGTTAGCTGGAGAGATGGCTCAGGGGTAGGCACACTTATTTATCCTGAGAGTACCACCAGGATCAGCTCCCAGCACCCTTATGGAGGCTTACAACTATCTGTAACTCCAGTTCCAAGGGATCCAATAGGCACGTATGCAGTACACATTCCTGAATGCAGGGAAAACATTCATATACATAAAGTAAAATAAAAATAAAGCAAATATTTAAGAAGAAGAAGGAAAATCCTACCGGGTAGGTGGGAATTTCAGGGTTCCTTATGCTTCTTGGGTTTTTTTTGTTTGTTTGTTTGTTTGTTTTTGAGACAGGGTTTCTATGTAGCTTTGGAGGCTGTCCTGGAACTCACTTTGTAGACCAGGCTGGCCTCGAATCCTTATGCTTCTTTAGGAGGCGACAAAACACCTCCCTGGCTGGGATGCCTGCCTGAGCCGTTTAGCCTTTCCCTCTCCGTGGCTCAGAATGGCCTAGACAACCGAGAGTTACCAGTATGGGGTCAGGGTTGTGCAAGGCCGTTTATTCATGACACCAGCCAGTGCCTGCCACATAGTAGGTGCGCATTAAACGATGAGTGCAATGGCCTGGTGGAACGCATACAGATTAGCCTGCATTTCATTCTGTTGGAAAGGATAGGGTGGCCTGGAGTCTCACTTCCTATGACACATTGTTGTCATTTTTTTGAAACCACAAGTGTGTACATTACTGTCAAAGGCTAAGAAAAACATAAGGAACCCCTCCCCAGTCTTTGCTTGCAGAGGGGAATTCTGTTATGGAAGTGGCTGGGTCCTACCCATCTCTGCTTGTGACGTAAGGGGATAAGGTGGGAGCTTTGCTGCACGGCTCACCAGGTCCAGCTGCCACTTCCTGTTCCCCTCACCCCAGAGTCCCCTCCTCATTCTGGATGACTGATGACACAGCAAAGAAATGCCCCCAAACTCCAATACTTAGCTGGCTGCTAAAAACCGACTTTTAGTCTCCAGAAGATGTTTACATAGCCAAGACCTTTTTTTGTTTGGTTGGTTTTTTTTTCTTTCTTTCTTTTTGAGACAAGGCCTCTCTGTGTAGCCCTGGCTGTCCTGGAACTTACTCTGTAGATAAGGCTGGCCTCAAACTTAGAGATATTCCTGCCTCTGCCTCCCAAGTGCTGGGATTAAAGGCGTGTGCCACCACCACCCAGATTGCTTTGCTTTTTGAGACTGGGCTTTACCCATAGCCCATACCAGCCTAGAACCCAAGGCAATCCTCCTGTCTCAGCCTCCAAAACATTGGCATTGTGGGTGTGCACCACTATACCTAGCCTTAAGACTCACTTTAAAAATAATTTTTACAGGGGAGAGAGAGAGAGAGAGAGAGAGAGAGAGAGAGAGAGAGAGAGAGAGAGAGAGAGAGAGAGAGAGAGAGAGAGAGCACATGCACTGAGACAAGTAGAAGTCAGAGATCCACTTGTAGGGATGAGTCCCTACTAGCAGAGGCTGGTCTTGAACCCCTGACACTCCTGCCTGTAGCTCCCAAATGCTGTGCTCACAGGTGTGAGCCACTATATGCCACTTGTACTTTCTGTTTGCTTGCTTCCAATGGTCTCACCCTGTGGTTGGTCTGGAACTCTGGTCCAGCTTCCTGCTTCCGCCTCCCAAGTGTTGGCATCTGAGACAAACACACACACACACACACACACACACACACACACACACACACACACACACACACACCATCAGTCTTGAACTAACTCTCTAATTCTGGATCCTGAGAATTATCTTTTCCAAGACAAATGTAATGAGTAAACTATAATTGTCTGAGAGGAAATCTGGCCCATGGACACCCTTACACACACAGGTGACTCTCAAGTCCCCAGTTCAGAAACTCAGTAAGGACAGGTAGCAGCCAGGTCTGTGGCCAAGTCCCAGACACTCACGGGTACTCACCTGAGGCAGCGCTCCACATCTGGATCACTCCTGTAGTACTGGAGGCCTCCATGTTTCAGGGCGTCCTCGGGGTTGGCAAAAGCCTGAAACACATTGGCTGAGGGTCACCATCCCTTAGGAGGTCCTTGTCTGAATACATAGCTCAGGGGCTAGGCAACAGTAGAGTCACCTACATGACCTACAGACCATTCAGTCTGCTCCCCTGAGCCTCTTGTCTGTGTACCAGAGCTCAAGGTGGCCAGAGTGTCCCCCTGGTGGTGTCTTGGGTTCATACATTGAGATCATTAGACTGGGGCAAGTGTGACTAGTTAGCCTAGTGCACTCAGGAGGGGATCAGGGCATGTATCCATAGTCCCGTGTTTGCCTGGCACGCGTGAGTCCCTAGGCTCTAGTCTAAGAACCTCAAGAAGCAAATTAAAATAAGATATTTAGCAGAATACATGGCACACACCTTTAATCCCAGCACTCTGGAGACAGAGGCAGGCGGATCTCTGTGAGTTCAAGGTAGCCTGGTCTAAGTAGTAAGACCCTGTCTCAGAAGACTAAAAGCAAACAAGCTAAGTAGAAGCCATTAGAGGCGCTCAAGAGGCTGGTCAGACACTCAGCCCCTCTCTGACCACCAGGCTTTGCAGCTTCCTGCTGCCCAAACTTCTCATCTGAAAACTCAGGATGAAACGGAGCAGCTGGGCCTCTGTGGAAGAGCAGGGACAGCCTGGGGGGGGGGGCGGTGCTGGCAGACGGTCAGTTTCCATCCCCGGAAAGAGCGTAGAGGTCACACTTTTGCCTTTGGGGGCCTAGGCTCACGACTCGCTCGCAGCTACTACCTGCTGCAGCCCAGACAAAAGCACCCCATCCGCTCAGTTGATGCCTGAGTCAACCTTTCTGAACCGTGAGGTGAACAAGGGGCTTCACACTGGTCTGTTCCTGGAGGCCCAGCTGGGCCTGCTCCTGCCCTGCCCTGAGGAAAATGTAAAATGACAGAATAAGGCCAGGAACTCCCACCCAGAATTCCTCCCTGCTGGCTCCCAAGCTCCCGAGCCCCCGACTCTGAGATATCAGGGAGCCACCTCTAGCAGGCCAAGGGCCACTCAGCATACACACCCAGGAACTGGAAGCTGTCTTAAGGACCAGAGTGGGTGACATGTTGGCCATTCAAGTCTCCAGGTTTGCAGATGGGGACACTGAACTCTCAATTGCCCAGGTCCGCAGGTTGGAGGGGAAGAGGATGGTGAGCCTGTGCCCATCCCCTAGGCAGAAGGTGACCCTCTGGTCCCTCTTGGCAGAAAGAGGCATCCAGGAACCCCAGGGCCCAAAGCAAGGGAGGCCTCCACCAGCCTTCCGGGAATGGAGACCAGGAGGAAGTGAGGCTCAGAAGCCAGATACCAAGCTCCTAGGGGATGGCAGGAGCCACTCACTCTTCTCAGCCCAGGCTTCTCACTGGAAAAACCGCGGGAGTCCAACTCCTACTGCCTCCCCCGGGCTCTGATGGTAATTTAGTGCTCAACTTTGGACCCCTGGGAGGGAACAAGGACAAAATATAGCTATCTCCGCCTGGCATCTGTGCCCTGTATCCCAGGGCAGACCAAACAGGGGAACCAGAGGCAGCCAGTAAGTGTTTGCCTTGCCTTTATTCCTGCAAATACCTGTCCAGGGGCTGAGCCCGGCTGGAGGGCAAGAGTCCCACCCGGGGACCTAACCTGCACTCCATCACCCCCCTCCTCCGCCTTTGGACTGGACAAAGGCTGGTTTTGAAAAAAATGCCTGTAAGCAACAGATGCTTCGTGTGGGTCTGCTTTGCAGCAGCTTCCAGATGAAGACACTGAACTCTCAATTGCCCAGGTCCTCAGGTTGGTGGCGAAGAGGATGGTGAGCCTGTGCCCATCCCCTAGGCAGAAGGTGACCCTCTGGTCCCTCTTGGCAGAAAGAGAGGCAATGGGGAGGAGTAGGTCGGGAAGTCCTGGCCACTCCCACCGGCTCGTGTGGGCTCTTTTACTGCTGTTTCCTTGCTAGGACTGGGATCACAGAGTGTTCTCTGTGACCCCTTTGGCTAGGACTAAACCTCGGAGGCCGCGTGAGTCTCCACGGGGAGTGGGAATTTCCACGGAAAGAGAACTCGGGCTGCTGCTTTGCCAGTTTCCACTCCACCCAGAGATGAAATCTCCCTGCCTGCTGGGAAACCGCCAGGTCAGGAGACCGCTGGCTGTCAGAGTCTGTGCGCTCCACGTGCGTTTCCTGGTGCAGTGGCTTCACCTGGCGCTCAGAGAGGGAACCCCGAGTGCTCTCCCACCAGCGTGTTCAGGAGCTGGAGCCCACGCCAGCATCCAGGAGGGCTGCTGAGACGGCAGCTTTTAAGCAGCTTCGTGGGCACGCTGGCAGGCACGCCTCGGCCACATTATTCAGTTCCCAGACTTTGTTGCAGGGAAAAGCCAGCAGAGTGCTAATTCCCCCCTCACACACACACCCCAGCTCGCATACCTTCTTCCGAAGCCTGGTGTAGCCTGTGATGACAGCCACCACGTACATCTTGATGACCAGCAGTGTGCTACAGAGCAGGAAGGCCGGGAGCACCTGGCCGTTCTCCATCACCAGACCCATAGAAGGCATCTCGGCTAGATGGTCTGAGTTCCAGCTCCGGGACACGGTGACTGAGGGTGAGACTGTCCCAAAGGCGGCCTGTGGAGAGGAGGAGGAGGAGGAGCCGGGCCAAACCCTGAGTAGGCGGACTCCAATCGCCCCCGCCCACTCCCCGCCCACCCTGATCAACCCACAGCTGGCCCCCTGCTGCAGCGAAGGAAACAAGTTCTATTCCAAGTGCTGGAAGAGGAATGAAGTATCCCCACGCCATCCTTGGCTCTGGACCATTTTTTCCCCTGGCAAAGCCTCAGACTTCCTAATCTGTTTCTCATCTTAACTCCAGGTCACCGACCTCGTCTGCGGAACTTATCACTGACCCATGTCCACCTTCCAAAGAGGGAAGGCAGGTAGAGGGCATGAGAATCAGGCCATCTGTGCTAACACACTGTCTCTGTGATGCTGGACACTCAGCCACAGAGGCAGGCTGCCTCTACAAGCTGAAAGACCAGACTGGTCCTTCTGCCATGCCCTAGCAGGAACACAGACCTCCAGTTCCCAGTTCAGAGTCGTGTATGTGTGTGTGTGTGTGTGTGTGTGTGTGTGTGTGTGTGTTCATTTGGGTGTGTACATGTGCACTTGGTGAGGGTGGGTGCATGTGTGTGCCCCTGCATGTGTGTGCCCCTGCATGTGTGTGCCCCTGCATGTGTGTGCCCCTGCATGTGTGTGCCCCTGCATGTGTGTGCCCCTGCATGTGTGTGCCCCTGCATGTGTGTGCCCCTGCATGTGTGTGCCCCTGCATGTGTGTGCCCCTGCATGTGTGTGACCCTGCATGTGTGTGCCCCTGCATGTGGAAGTCACAGCTGATGTCACCTGACTTTCTCAGTTGCCCACCTTACTTTTTTTTTAGTTTCTTTTGAAATCACATTTATTTATTTATTTAGTGTGTGTGTGCCACAGCACCTGTGTGAAAGTCAGAGGACAGCTGTGTTAGAGTTGGTTCTGTTCTACCATTTGAGTCTCAGGGATAGGATTCTGGTCTTGTTGGCCCTCGCTGTCCTGGAACTCACAGAGATCCTCCTGCCTCTACCTCCAGAGTGCTGGGATTGAAGGTGTGCGCCACCACACCTCACCCGAGTTACTTTTTTGAGGCACAGTGGCTCACAGACTTTAACCCTCTGGTAGAACAGCAGCAGGCCAGCGAACTCTAGGCACTCACTTGTCCCTGCGGCCAGCAAATTACTGACTTTTTACATGGGTTCTGGGTATCAGATCCCAAGACTTCCTGCTCTATCAACTGAGCCACCTACCTCCCCTTGACCTTCTCTCCCCTCTTTCCCACCCCTCATCTCTTCTCTTTTCTGGCAGCATCTAAAAAGTTGGGCTCAAAACTCACTGTTTAGCCAAGTGCAGTCTTTTTGTTATTGTTGTTTTGCTTTTTTGGTTTTGGTTTTTCAAGACAGGGTTTCTCTGTGGCTTTGGAAGCTGTCCTGGAACTAGCTATTGTAGACCAGGCTGGTCTTGAACTCACAGATCCGCCTGCCTCTGCCTCCAGAGTGCTGGGATTAAAGGCATACGCCACCAACGCCCGGCCAAGTGCAGTCTTAAATTCCCCCTCCTTCCCTCCACCTCTCCAGTGCTGTGGGGACAGGCCTCCACCATCACCGCACTCGACCCCCGGTCACTGCTTCTAAGCTCAAGGGTTTTTGTTTTACCTCCACTAACTCTGTGAAGTTGCTTTGGCTGGACACGCTATTCTGATGTCTTCTTCGGAGTCACCCTAATTTTCTGGGAGACCCTTTACCCCCAAAGAGCCTGATGGCTACAAAGACTCGTTAGCCCCTTGCGGGCTGCGTCTCATCCCTGGTGACTGTCCCTTTCTCTGGCACTTGGGAGTATGGCCTGGGGAAAGGGCAATCTTGCTGCTCACTCCTTTCTGCCATCAACTAGAACCTAAGTGACAGTAACCTAATGCTGACAGTCCCAGAGGAACATCCAGGTCTGCCTCAAAGAACAGGGATGGAGGGACAAACAGTCTGGACCACACTCAGCTGGAAAACTTAGCCAGCCCTCACGGCAGTGATGTGCCTGGAGATGTGTTTTCCCTCTTTGACCCCGTTTCCCCCGCTACAAAATGCAGTTGGCCATCATTGCCACTGGTCACTCCCTCATAGCAGTTGCTGGACCTGAAGAGTCTTGGCTGGGGGTGTGGCTCAGCTGGTAGAGTGTTTGTCTGGCACGGATGATGTGGTGGGTTTGACCCCCAGTACCGCAGAAACCAGATGTGTCCTGTGTGCCCGTGACCCCAGCACTGGAAATGTAGACACCAGATGGGGAGCTCAAGGTCATCCTCAGCTACTTAGAGAATCTGAGACCAGCCAGAGATATATTAAACCTTGTCTCAAAGATCAGGGCTGGTGAGATGGCTCAGTAGGAAAAGGTACCAGCCACATGGTGGAGGAAGAGGAGTAACCGAGGCAGGCTGTCCTCTGACTGTGAGTACACACACAAATAGTAGAACGAAAGTAGAAAAGGATTAAACCAGTAAAATATTTATGTCTACAAGACACAATTACAGAGCACCTGCTTTGTAGCCACTTCCCCTTGCTAAGAACCCCGGAGCCTCAGTTTCCCCTCCTCAGAATAGGGCCAATGGTTCCTACCTAGCAGGATTGGCAGGAGGGAGTCCTTGCTGCTGGGGGCAGTGGGTGGCTTCTTGCTGATTTACAAAAAGAACTAAAGATACGCTCCGTAAGATGACATCCGTGTTCCAAGCACAAGGTCACCACACCAAGCTTAGCAGTACTTGATAGAGATAGAGCTCTCCCATGAAACTGGACATGGTGGTGTGGGCTGCTTGGCCTGAAGCATGTTTTATCTGTGGCGGGAGGATGGGGAGCTGGGCAAGCAGCCAGCTTTCTGTTCAACTTGCTGGTTATCTGCTTCAGGTAACCATCTTGTCACAAAGCTCAATTATGACCTGGCTCCTGTGACCTCTGTGTTTGTGCCACGGTCCTTGAGAGTATGCACACACTCTTGTGCACAAACACACACACACACGTACACGCACACACGCACACACCACTCTGCCAGGTGGCACACACTTGTAATCTCAGCATTCCAGAGGTAGAGGCAGGAGGATCAGAGGCTAATCTGGACTACACAGGGCTCAGAGAGCTTGCTAAGCATCACCACAAGAATCCGGAGTTCAAATCCTCAGCTCCCATGTATAGGCTAGTAAGTAGCCCCAGTGCTTTGCAGAGGCGCTGGGCTGCAGGCCACCAGCCTAGCTCTGGGGGCAATGAGAGACTCTGTCTCCAGGGAATGACGGGATCTCTGGCCTCTGCCCATTCAGACATAGACGTGTGCACACTCTGCACACATACATTATAGACCTTGTGGACACATGCACACACCAGCAAACAAAAAGAACAGCCCTCAGGCAGAGGCCAGGGCTGTGACTCTGAATCAGAGCACTTGCTCAGTGTTTCTGAGGCTCCTGGATTCCCTTCCCAGCATCAGAAAAATAACACTAAATAAAAAACCTCAGTTGTTGCTGGGTGTGGTGGCAAATGCCTTTAATCCCAGCACTTGGGAGGCAGAGGCAAAGGATCTCTGTGAGTTCGAGGCCAGAGTGAGTTCCAAGACAGGCAGGGCTACACAGAGAGTCCCTGTCTCAGAAAAACAAACACACAAAAATAAAGCAATCCTCAGTCGTGAGGTCGCTGCCCGTAGATCGTAAGCCAGATCCACCCAAGGGGCCTTCAGTGTGAGTGGGCGGCCCTCCCTAGGCTAGGTATGCAGGGGACAGCCACACCTTGCTTGGCTCTCTCTAAGCTACACGCACTGGCACTGAGCCAGATGAAAGCGTGACCCCCCCCCAACTGTGAACACACCCTCCCAAGAAAGCTGCGTGTATCTGACTGTGAAGGAAAACTCCCCACAGGAACCTGTGTCTGCGAAGCCTGGTGAGCTGGTTACAACCTCAGGACAGTGGAGAAGTTGGAATGTTGCCAGTCCAGAGGCAAACTTCCTTATCAATCTATATCAAAGTCAACATCTTGGAACAACAGATAAAAACCTAATTACTGATTCAGCAGGCCTACCAGCTCCTATCAGTCCAAAAGCCAAGGGTGTCATCCGACAGCATTTTAGGCCTATGGAATAGTTCCCACCACCTCCCTGAAGTACCCGCCAATGTATTTTAAACTTGCCTTAACGGATTAGAGTCTCTGTTCTTCGGAACTATACAGACTCCATGAAACTGCTTCTATGTTGGAATATGGAATTTGGGGTTACCTAAGTCTGTGTTCCCAGGTCATGATCACTCAAAGTGGTTCCAGAACTTTTTCTGAGCAGGGTAAGAAAGTTCCTACTTTGGTAGATACGTTTTTTGGTCTGCTTTCAAAGAACTTGGTGTAGGTATCTAGCTTGTTTTCTTTGAAAGCATTCTGGTCTGGATTGTTTGGCTTGTTGCTTACCTTCGGCTTTCGAAAGGCAGTTTAGATTCTGACTGATTAGCATGTTTTCAGAATTTTGCCTTTGAAGGCATTTTGGTTTTTGTTTTAGTAGTCTTGGTTTTCATAGTCTTTGAAATATTTTCATTTATTATCATTGGCCTTTGTCACCTGACATTCCTCCTCAGATTCATAGTTAGTTCTGTTCTTCTGTTTTCCTATGACTCTGGCAATCCTTTTAGCTGAGGAATTTTATGGGTGCCTGGTGGTAAAAAGACACCAAAACAAGAGGCACGCGTTACCTCCCACCCAAGAGTATGCAGGTGTCAGGAAGGACCCCCAGGATGTACCCGTCCCCGGCGCAGAAGCATCTGTACTGGCTTGCCCTGGGAGACACAAATGAGGACTGGTCGCCCAGTGTCTGAGCTATGCAGGACACCCCAAGACCCACTCGGAGAAGACATCTGGGGTGAAGGCACCACTTAAACTGACCCAAAACACATTCCCTAGCTAGAGTAGCTAGGCCACTTTTCAGGAGAACAGAAAAATGGAAATATGGAGAACAAGGTTTCACAGAAGGAAGAAATGCATGAGCACAGCTACCACTAGGTACCACGGGGCATGGTACTTATTAACTTGCATGTATTAGGGAAAACAGGTAACTACCCCAAACTGGTTTATCTTGCTTGCTTAACAAAGTAAGTCCTAGGCAATCAAGTTGTCTCCTTAAACAAACAAACAAAATTTAAAAACCCACAAATAGGCAGCCTGCTTTAATTAAAATGTAAAATATCTGTTAATAACAACAAAACCCTGATAATATTGGTAATTCGTAATAAAAAAGACAACTTAAAAAATTCATGAGCAGGCGCTGGAGAGATGACTCAGAGGTTAAGAGCACTGGTTACTCTTCCTAAGGTCCTGAGTTCAATTCCCAGCATCCACATGGTCACTCACAACCATCTGTAATAAGATTTGGTCCCCTCTTCTGGCCTGAATTCATATAAAACACTGTATATTTAATAAATAAATCTTTTTAAAAAATTCATGAGCAGCTGGGCATTAGTGGCACACGCCTTTAATCCCAGCACTCGGGAGGCAGAGGCAGGCAGATCTCTGAGTTCGAAGCCAGCCTGGTCTACAAGAGCGAGTTCCAGGACAGGCTCCAAAGCTACACAGAGAAACCCTGTCTCGAAAAACCAAAAATAAAATGAAAAAAAATTTCATGATCTCTCTGGGCTTGGGCTTAGGTCCCAGACACATGGCTAAAAGCACCATGAAGGTCGGATTGTCAGGAAATACGGGACCCGCTATCATGCCTCCTCCGGAAAATGGTGAAGAAAATTGAAATCAGCCAGCACACCAAGTACACTTGCTCCTTCTGCGGCAAGACCAAGGTGAAGAGATGAGCCGCTGGCATCCGGCTCTGTGGTTCCTGCATGAAAACAGTGGCTGGTGGGGCCCGGACTGCAACACTACTCCTGCAATCACAATCACAGTGCCGTCTGCCATCGGGAGACTGAAGGACCGTGGAAGTGTACCACCTGAGACCTGCCTAGCCTCTAATAAATGGGTTAATTTACATTAAAATGCACGTGTTAAATTAGAAACTCAAGGATTAATCAAAAGGAATTTTTAGAGTTTATATAAGCTGACCTCGCTTATTTTTGTTTGTTTGTTTTTGGTATTTCAAGACAAGGTTTCCCTATGTAGCCCTAGTTGCCCTGGAACTCACTCTGTAGACCAGGCTAGCTTCGAACTCACAGAGATCCTCCTGCGGCTGCTTCCCAAATGCTTGGGTTAAAGGTGTGCACCACCGCAGCCTGGCCTTACTTTGATTCATCTCTGAGGTCTCCCTTAGCAGATTTGGGGTTTTTTCTTTTGACTGCTTGCACATTGAGACATCTCAGCTTGGTCAGCAGGGAGATCCCTACAGTTTAGGGGGCCACCTCAGGCTAAGGGAAGCTAAATCTGCTTCTCTCGAAACATCCTGGGACTTCATTGAGACCCATCTTCAAGCATCTTGGTGAGGTTTTATTTGACTGGTGGATCCTGTTACACGTGGGTTCTATTGTTCCTTTATTCCTTTCTTCCTAACAAGAAACCCACTGAACATGTGCATGCCGCCAACATCAAAAACAGACATTTCCCTAGACCTGCCCATACTCTGCTCCCTGCTCATACAACACGCGGCGTTTCTGGAGAACAGCACACATCGGATCCACCTGTGGCCGATCTGACAGCTACAAAGACTCTAAAGACACATTGTGTGTCTCTCACTGAGGCTGAGCCTGCTGAAGCACTGCCCCAAGGCTAGTGGAGTTTCCCTGGGAGCTCGTTCCGGGTAAGACGAGGGTGTCAGATAGGGAGGGGACCTGTCTTTCTGAAAGAGACTGCAAACAATTCCAGCAACCTGCCAGACACCTTACAGGATGGAGACTAAAGCCAACAAGGATGAGTCAGTCGGTGGTGGGCTTGGACGCTCACACCTTTGTCTCTACGGAACTTTTTCTTGCTCCGGGAGGTGTACTTAAAAGGTTTGCTGGACCTCTGTCCCCGTCTCCCAGTGTGAAGACATTGAATGAGATGAGCCTCCCTTTTCTGCTTTTTACCTTTCGTTTACCTTGGTTTTGAGACAGAGTTTCTCTGTGTAACCCTGACTGTCCTGGACTCTGTATGTAGTCCAGGTTGACCTTGAACTCACAGAGATCCCCCTGCCTCTGCCTCTGCGTGCTGGGATTAAAGGCGTGCGCCACCACTGCCTGGCTCTGCTTTCTACTTTTAGTTGGCTTATTGTGGAAGGGTGGCTAGACCTGACTTGGCACAAGTTGTGACTACTAAGTCACCTGCTAGAAAGCAGCATGGGACACACACACACACACACACACACACACACACACACACCTATTCCATCTTAGGTGTGAGGCTGTCGTTCCAGGCAATCTCCTCCACCTTCCTGAATCCACCTACAACCCACTCCCCCACTTGATGTCCTCATGTTGCCGCACAAGACTCTGGCCTCATCATTCCCATAGCAAACTCCTGAGAGACAGAAAGGCAGATGGCGTTAGTATTTAGGCATCTGTACTGGCCTGCCCTTGGAGTTCTGACAGGATGTGCCCTCAGCTGTGGCCACTAAGAGCACCACCTGTGCACATTCACTATGCTCCCTTTAAAAAGGCCCTGTCCACCTCCCATCCCACTTTCTCTTCCTCTCCCTCTCTCTCTTTCTCTCTCTGCCTCTCTTTCTTTCTTCCTTCCTTCCTGTCTTTTTTATTATGTAGCCCAGGCTGGCCTTGAACTCCTGATCCTCCTGCCTCCACCCCCTTCAGCAAATCCTACCAGCATGTACACCACAGCTGGCAGTCTGCCTCTCTTTCCTCTCTCCCACTGCTCCTGCTCTCAGAGGCCAATCTCCCCCTCCCCTCTCCCCTTTTTATAATCCCTCTCCCCTAATTAAAACAAAACCCATC